GCAGGCGCAACATCAGCGTGGTCAAGTCAGGGTATTGAGAGGTGTTGACCGTTTTCACCATCGCGAGAGTGTACGTAAGCGGGTTTCCCCGTTATTAAGCAAAATGAGCTGAATAAAAAAGCAAAGTCCGTCATCCTTTAAGTCCACCATTGGATTTAGAATTACGTCAATTACTTAATCATGCATTGTCATCCCAACTAAATGCGTATGCAAAATTTCAGCTCAATCGGTTGAGGACTACTTTAAAATTCAATTACAAGATTTGACCTGAACAAACAAACGTAAAAGCTTGTAAAAAAGTGTTAATTTTTGTACACCAATAATATATACATATATATATATATATATATATATATATATATATATAATATATATATACAAATTCTTGATTATATTTTTATATATAATACAAGAATTTGAGCACGTAAAGCCGTCGGTCCTTAACTCTTACCGGGCGTGTCGAGTGGTCGTCCCACCGGAGTAGGAGAGTGACAGGAATAGTTAGTGGGCGTTGTGTCTGCGCGTACACTTGTACACTATAATATCTCCTGCGCAGTTGGCTAGTCTCAATGAGATTGGCCGCCGTGGCCGGAATCGGTCAGGAGAACATCATTACAATAATATTTTTATTATAATACTGAAACTTATTTTTCCATTCTACATTGGTGAAAAAGCCGCGCTTATTTGGCCTTCTAAAAACCATTAAGAAATAATTACGTTGAATATTCGTCTCAGTATTAGATACAATTATATGCACATATAATTAATTACAATCGATTTGTTTCAGTTGGTCGTTTTGTCCAATAACCCAGTTTTTTAGCTCATCCGAACTCCACTTCATCCTAAGCCATTAGTTTGCATATTCTCCTCCATCTTACCCGGTGGCTATCTTTGTGTTAGTCCTTGCCTGTTGATGAATCGCACTAAACAAATTTAAAACTCATAAGAGGCCTCTACGTTTTAATTTGAGAATTGAATATTAATAAATATAATATTTGATATGTATCTATTGATTTATTTTATTTATAACAAGTTATGACAAACTTATATTTTGTATAATGTCAATTCGTCTTCATCCGCATATCACGGAAACAGCTGACATTGAAGTTTCAAGACCTTTCTTGATTTGTAAAATGCTATATTATATACTCATTTTCGTCTGCTGTTTCACTTGTGTGGTACCGTTAGTTTTTTATTACTAGCAACTCACCTTCGCTCCACTCGGTTTCGTCCCAACTTACGTTTTAACGTTCAGTATAGATTTCTAAATATAAAGTTTCTATATGTTGACCTGAATAACCAGCTATCACTATACCAAACTTCATCAAAATCTATTCAATGGTTTTCTCGTGATGCGTTCCCAGACAGAAAGACAGACAAACAAAAATTCTAGAAACTATAAGTTCAGCCTCTGTATCGATACAAATTCGACTTAGTTAGACTTTTATTATATGTACATGCATAATACTTATACTTGTGTTCATGTAGTAGTTAAAACCATCATAATTGACAATCGTTATAATTATATTACTCTTTGGTACCGTGGAAATTTTCTTAACAAAAATCTAAAAATCCTTCTCTTACTTACTGAAAAAACAAAACCTGAACTTATAGAATTAGTACAACGTGAACCCTTAAAATTTTGCACAAGAGTTCCTTAACAAAAGCTGGCTGTCTCTTTGGTTTAGTGGCTAGCATTTGCGGTTGCCGCTTAATCATTATTGATATCTGTTTCAAAAATATAAACTCGTCAATAGCCACTAAGCATAAAAAAAAAGAAAACCGATTGACAAACAGAGGAGGAAAAGTACTGAAATCTAACTCAACAAATATAGAAATATACTCTAGACCAGTATAAAAACAGTATATCCAAAATAGTATAAATATTAAGCCTATATATTACTGAAGATTTCCTAAATATCATCCAAATGCATCCAGCGTGAAGCTTATGATCGAATTTCATCCACTAGGCGAATATTGTATTCAGCCCTTTTTAACGTCCCACTGCTGGGCGTGGGCCTCCCTTCAATACGAGGGGGATCAAGCTATAGTCCACCACGCTGGCCAAGTGCGGGTTGGCGGACTCCACATGTCTTTCGAGAACTTGTTAGGTTCTCTCAGACATCAGGTTTCCTCACAATGTTTTCCTTCACCGTAAGACAAGTGGTAATCGTGTTGGAAATGATTCGCACATGAAAATATCAGATGTGCGAACCCGGGATTTGAATGCGTTTCACTCGGTTTAGCAAGCGTGCGTTACCACTGAGCTACCACCTCAGGCTAATACTAGTTTTATTAAATCTTTCAATTTATATCAATCTATTTGCAAAAATGATCTATGATAATAATTAAAACTGAAAAAGATGTACACAAAACTGAACTTTCTGAAATCTAGATTAAGACCTTTAAAGGAATACTATAAAAATTTTATACTTTTGTAATAATACTTTCTTAGATTTACGCGAATATTTGATATTTTAAATAAAACTATATTACTAATTCCGGATAATTTCGCGGATTTATTTTGAATTTTGGTTCCCGACGTTAATATTTCTGTGACATACAAGTTTTTTTCTTGCAACAAAGTAATTGCGTGTTAGATATAAAATCTTAAACACTATATAAAAGCAAAATGTGATAATCACATTTAGATAAATTTTATAAAAAAGTTTAAAAAACTAAACGTAGTATGTTCTAAATTAATTTGATATTGATAAATAATTTATTGATTATTAATAACTATCTTGATAAGAACAACTTTTTTGTGACCGCTTAGAACGTAAACAATTTTAATTTCCTATGAATTAGTAAATCTAATATACGAGTATGTATATATTATGTTAGCTGTCTATACTATAATACGAGAATTATAAACATAAAAAAACAGACAAAAAAACATTTTCAATGTTAAAAAATCAAATATACTTGCCCGATCCTGGACTCGAACCCAGGATCTTTGAATTTGCAGCCATACATGCTCACAAAATCAAAGAGACAACCAACCTTAGTTAAGGAAATCTTTAGAAAATTTTAAGCGTCTAATATAGCTTATACATACAGCCAAAATTTCGCATTTATGTATATACCTATTTTTATACGATAACACTACAGATAACAAAGTACACGCGTGTTGCCGTGCCGCCATAATGGGAACCTCTTTTTCTTTTATTCATTTCATTCCATTTCTTTAAATAATATCTTACGTCTCCTTTTATTTCAAAAATACAATTTCACACATAATTATATAGCAAATTCCACATACAGACGTAAAAATTTTTTCATAAATAATAATAGCAGTGTGATGGAAAAATAAACCAATCATGAAATATATTTTTTATTTAAATAATTCTCATAAATATATAAAATAAATTAAGATAAATTATAAAAAAAAGATACAATGTATTAACGGATGACGGAATAATTGGTTTATTATATTTATTATATTTATTTTAATACTTTTTTGATAAAAAAGGTTATTGGAATATAATATTATGAGATTTTATTTAAAATATATAATTTATAAAATTCTAAACGTTATTTTACGAGTGACAGTTCGTAGTTAAATACTTAAAATTATTAAATAAATTATTTATTGTTAAATACTTATACTTAAAATTAGATATTTAAAACCATAGGTACATCTTTCCTAACAAATGTATCTTTAAAAAGTGGCGTCGACATGTGACGTTAAGTCAAACCAAAGAATATAATTTATAATATCTACCATTATTTATATATATATATATATATATATATATATATATATTTATATATATATATATATATATATATATATATATCATAATATATATCAAAAATCGAAAGTTCTAATTGTCTAAACACAAATTCGAACTTACGCACTTAACATAAAGTACTTTTTTAAACGAAACAACGTGCGTTTTAATTTTGTCACTTTTTTGTTGAACAAAAGAGATTTGAAAAGAGCGCACAATTTAGGATTATGCACTTCTTTTTGCAGACACTTTTGAAACGTTAATTGTGTATCTTGAGTTATTGTATATCAATAAATAAAATAAATAAATAAATAAATGGTTAAATAACAATAATAAGTTTTTATTTAAACATTTAATACAATCCCCTATATTGTTAAATTTTTAATTCTTCATAGTTCTGCATAGTTAAAAATAATCTTTATTAGTATATATTAACTAAAGGAAAATTTACAGATAACGTCTAATTAATTTATATATCATGATTATTATTTAATATTTCAGAAAAGTTTGCTTTATTTTGTCCTTTTACTAATAGAACAGTTTCTATACATTTGTATAGTTTATATTATTCTTACTAAATATTGCCAGCAGTTTTACTTTCATTTTTATTCATAATTTTTCCGCTATTTATCAATTAATATCTTTTGCAGCTTTCTTAGTGAATATGTTATTAAGTGCATAAAGATTTTCATAACATCAGCATCTTAGTTCCTGAGATTATCGGGTTCAATCAAACAAATAATCAAAAAAACAAACTTTTCTGTTTTATAATATTAAACCTCGTTTTTTTCGGTATATTAAAAAAGTCTGGAATTTCACAACATACAATTAATTATGTATAGCTAAAGAATATAAGTACCCATAAGTTAAAAAAATATATTAAAATTATGTCCGTACATGCACAACAGGATTTTATTTGTAACTAGCGACTCACCCTCGCTCCGCTTGGGTTCGTCCCTAGTTACGTTTTACCATTTAGTATAGATTTCGCAAAGACATTTTCCCGCAGTAAAAAGTATCCCAAATGTTGAACCGGATAACCAGCTATCATCATACAAAATTTCATTAAAATCTGTCCAGTGGTTTTTTTGTGATACGATCATAGACATACAAACAAACACATAAAAAAAATTAAAAACTATAGATTCGGTCTCTGTATCGATAATAATGACTATCAATAAGATTTTCCAAAAAATATTTAATGTACAGATTCGACTCAGAATATTATTATATGTATAGAAGGTATTATTGAATAGTCTATTGTTAATAAGTGTTAATTAGTTTCTTGATCATATCAACAGATTCGTTCTGACCGATATTATCGATATACATCATAGCTTTCTTCGCATGTTCCTCTCTTAACATCTCAGTTTTGTCGATCGCATCCGTTTTTAAGATATTAAACTTCAAATCTTCATAATCAATGTCTTTCACATCGTTTTTTGCTCTGTCTATAATTTTGTATAAGTCAGGATTATTTTCTAAAGCAAATAAAACTGGGGCACTTGTTAGGCAGAATCGGTGTTTTTCGGTAAGTTTTTTAATTTCAGCAGCCGCTTGCCAAGACAGGCCAACGTGACAGCCAAAATTATATGCATTTCTTTGTATTTCACGACTTTGTTCATTCAAAACCATTGCACTCTGACATCCTCTACCTAATAAACTAACGCCGTTGTACACCGTCCTCGCAGTCCATTCTTTCTTAGGCTTTCCCAATACATCGCCTTCGTCGATAGCTGATGTATCAAAAGTTATATCAAGATCGTCTTTCGTTACTTTAGGTTTTCCTGGCAAAGGCATATTTTGTTCGTCTCTGTCACCAAAGAATTCACTCTCAGACAGATCTTTTGTTGCCGTTGATACAATATAAAGAACCTCAGAGTGCTTTAAATTAGCTAACATTGCATTTGCTGTAACCAAAAGGTAGTCACCCAATAAAATTGCAATTTTGTTCCCAAATATAATCGAATCTGTATCCTTTGATCTTCTTGAATATGGTACATTGACAATTTTCCGATGAATTAAATGGCCAGTTCTCAACATTTCTGTTAGCTCCGCTAATTTTCGTTGTTTTTCGCATGCTTTAGTATTTGCTGTTTTAACCGATTTTGATAAAAGTAAAATTACTAAACCCCAAGGCTGTAGGTTCTTGGAGTCGCCGTATAGCACGTTCTTTGCTGTTTGCATTACCAGATGGTTGCTTCCAACCTGAAAAAATAAAAATATTTTGTTTATTATTTAGCTTATTTGTTTATTTTCATCATCATTTAATTATGTGTCTAAAACATAAACTATTATAATATATTTCTCAAAAAAAAATTACTCAGTTATATTTTATAATTTTTCGATTGGCTAATCTTCTTTTTTCTAACACGAAGACCCCTGAATAATTAAATGAAATAAAAGATAAAACGTATTCCTTCCTATCTGTACAAATTAATTATATTTATAAAGATTACTGCAATTTTTTGTTCAATGGCTGGAGGTTAGAAGGCAAAATTAAATTCGACAATGTCAAGAATGGATAAAAAAGAAAAGATTAACATATACAAATATTGTTTTTGTTAACATACAATTATTGTTAGAATTTCACAAAGATGATATCAAAATCGATCAATGCTTGCTTATTAATATTATAAATGTGAAAGTATGTTCGTTTGTTTGTCCTTCTTTCACGTCAAAACGGAGTGACGGATTGGCGTGATTTTTTGTGTGGAGGTAGTTAGAGGGCTGGAGAGTGACATAAGATACTTTTTACCGCAGGAGAATATCTCATTCCCACGGGAAAACACGCTAGTACATAATATATAGATGATAGCGACTCGCCCTCGCTCCGCTCGCGTTCGTCCGTACTTACGCTTTAATGTTTAGTATAGATTTCTCAGAGATGAGATATTTTCTCGCAGTAAAAATAGCCTATGTGTTGAGCCGAAGAACCAGCTATCATCATACTAAATTTCATCAAAATCTGTCCAGTGGTTTTCTCGTAATACGTTCTAAGACAGACAGGCAAACATAAATTCTAAAAACTACAGCTTCGGCCTCTGTATCGATAATAATGACTATTTTAATAAGAATTTCCAAATAATATTTAATGTAAAAGATTCGACTCAGAATTCTATTAATGTCTTTAAGAAGTTTTTTTTAATTAAAAAATTATCTAAATAGGTTTTCTTTTTCTTATTTAAAAAAAATATATAGTAAACATTGCGGTTATTTAGGTGGAAGCTGCAAAGTAATAAGACATACTGTTATTGGCATAGTTAACTAATGATCAATAGTGCTACGGTAAATGTTACGTACTAGCAAACCGCCCCGGCGTTGCTTAGATATTTTCCGTTAAAAAAAAATATCAATATAATGCATGTTCTAATATGAAAAAATCATGGTTTTAATATATGTTATAAATTAGAATAAATAAATTAGTACACTTTACCTCTTTATAATACTAGTCTATAGTATTATAAAGAGGTAAAGTTTGTAAGTTTGTGAGTTTGTAATGGACAAACTAAAAATCCGCGGAACCGATTTAGATGAAATTTTGTATGAAGATAGTTTGAGATACTGAGACGGATATATGATAGTTTTAATCCCAGAAATCATCCATTATGAGGGTGAGAAGGAGGATGATAGTTTATATGGGGAATCAATAATTTCTCAAGTAAGGGATATAAAACTCATCATACCACATCATCAACTCATCATACATACATGTATATACCACTATATATATATATATATATATATATATATATATATATATATAAAACGTACCTAGGGACGAACCCGAGCGAGGGTCAACCGCTAGTTTAATTTAATATAATTATTCATATTCGGGAAATATCTCACATTTTTTTTTGAAAAAAGTGAAAATTATGGCTCACAATCAGACAATTTCATTTTTTAAATGAATGTAATAATTATATTATAAACTTAGTAAAATTACTAAGCCCCCGAGGTTATAGATTCTTGGAGTCAGTGTTTGCATAACCATATAAGGTAATACTAATTATAATTTTGATTTAAAGCAACAAATGAGTATTTTCGTAACTTTTGCTCAACCACACATTGAAAATATGTACTTTCAAAAATAATATACAATTCAAATTTATAAAAATTACTAGCATTCGCGTTCAGACGACCAAAACCAAATTTGTAGATTTTACATATTAGTATACTCTTACAGTGCAGTTATTGTATTTTTTCTCAGAAATGAGACATTTTTCCGTGGTAAAAAGTATACTATATGTTGACCCGGATAACCAGCTATCATCATACCAAATTTCATCAAAATCCCTCCAGTGGTTTTCTGTGATGCGGTAAAAGACAGACAAAAATTCTAAAAACCATAGATTCGGCCTCTGTATCGATAATAATGTTTATTTCAATAAGATTTTCTAAAAAATATTTAAAGTACAAATTCGGCTTATTTTATTATATGTATAAATGACATTTTACATTCCATAACAATATCAACCCATTCTTCAGAAACTACATGCTGTTCAGTTAATTTATGTTAGAAAAAATGAAGGTCTTTGCACCCTTGATTATAGGAGAGGATGTGAGTTTTAATATTATGAAAATTTGAGACGATTTCACCACGTTTTTGCCTAACGGCCGAGGACAGGATTAAAAGAAATACCTTAAAAAATTATTATATATATATATATATATATATCTATGTTCCAAAATTGACTAACATACTGTAATATGCTAAATGCTAAAATTATAAATATAACAGTTTAAATGTTTGGATGTTTGTTACTCAATCATGCCAGAACGGCTGAACGGATCTGGATTACATTTGCCATAGAGATAGATTATAATCTGGAATAGCACAAAGGCTACTTATTATCCTGAAAAAAATGTACGAATCCCGTGGGATAGATTTGTTTTTATTTTTAAGTATAAACCAAATATGCCAAATATATAATGACTTAAAAGAATCATTTTGTTGTCTCTATCTGTCCAGTTTAAATAAATATTGGTTTAAATAGCAAATGCACATACATAGATCCTCATATAAAGTAATAGTAGCTACTGCTTCAATAGTGCAGTGGAATAGCATAAATTTTACGCTTGCAGTAATACCGTTTATTTCTCGTATACTTTACTGTATACGATTTAAAGGAAGGAAGATATTTAATAATAGCTAGTGCTTGTCCAGTGGTTGAAACTCGAAAATTATCTATTTTTTTTGGTTGATAACACAGAGAAGAAAGAGGTACTGTAATGATTTGTCTTTATCTATACATATAATAAAATTGTAACTAAGTCGAATCTGTACATTAAATATTTTTTTTTAAATCTTATTGAAATTGACATTATTATCGACACAGGCCAAATTTATAGTTTTTTGAATTTTTGTCTGTCTGTCTGTTACCGCATCACAGAAAAACCACTGGACGGATTTTGATGAAATTTGTTATGAAGATAGCTGGTTATCCGGGTCAACATAAAAAATACTTTTTACCGCGGGAAAATATCTCATTTCTGAGAAAAAATACAAAAACTGCATTGTAAGAGTATACTAATATGTAAAACCTAACAATTTATTTTTGGTCATCTGAACGCATGCGGACTGTGATCTGCTAACAGACAGAGTAGAAAAAGGTATTTTTTAATAATTATAAATTAAAATATACTATTTGACACTCGCGTTAACAAGACGAATCTAATGCCGTATAATACATCAATCATCGGTCAAGTTATCAAGTAATTGCTATGGAACATTGGGTCAGACATACATACACACACAACTTCCTTTTCGGCTTTTCCGCAATTGAGTACAAAGAGAAGGTACTCGTATCATGCGTATATATATTTTCTAGTATATGTTTACCGAAGAAAACAGGTTTAATGACCTGGCGTGCAAAAAAATGTATTATATTAAAGTTATAAGAGATAATGGGACAACCCGTTATAATGTTTTACATATATATATTCTGAACTAGCATTGCCCGCGGCTCCGCCCGCGTACAGATGACCAAAAACCAAATTCTTAGGTTTTAAATATTAGTATACTCTTACATTGCAGTTTTTGTATTTTTTCTCAAAAATGAGATATTTTCCCGCGGTAAAAAGTATCCTATATGTTGACCCGGATAACCAGCTATCACCATACCAAATTTCATCAAAATCTCTCTAGTATTTTTCTGTGATGCGGTAACAGACAGACAGACAGACACAAAAATTCTAAAACTATAGATTCGGCCTCTGTATCGATAATAATGTTTATTTCAATGAAATTTTCAAAAAAATATCTAATGTACAGATTCGGCCTAGTTACAATTGTATTATATACATATAGATAATCGCCAAGAACAGATTTTTTGACATTCTACCCATACGTTAATCTTTTTAACGTGCGTGTAATATATTTCAGTGGACAAATCTATACTCTTTTTTCTTTCTTTCTTCCTCTGTTTGACAACCAATTTTTTTATTGACGAGATTTAGTGTTAGATATCATTTAAAAAAATTGTAAGCAGTTTTCGACCAAAATGCGAACATTAGTTAAAAATTAACCTGATGAAGTCTAAACACAGTGTTAGTTCAATTACAGACTTAATTTAATAGTTAAAGATATTTTGAACCGGTTTGGACCGGTTTATATATTCGGTGCATAATTTTTTTAATAAAATTAATAGAATGTAATGTCGCAGTAAATATTTGTATGAAAGTAAGCTAGGAAACGTCGTTGAAAGTTTGTTTACCCGTACGAGTGGAAAGCCAGTGAAACTATGCGATCATATTTATTCAATATTAGACTAGACAAACAAAAACAAATTTATCCCACGGGAACCGTACATTTTTCCGGGATAAACAGTAGCCTATTTGTTATTCTAATATATGAACTATATGATTGTAAAATTTCAGTGAAATCCAATCAGTAGTTTTTGTGTACTAAGCTATATAAATTATTATAGTTGTTTAACTATCCCACAGGAGCTCTTTAATTTTCCGGGATGAAAATTATCTAAAATGTTGACCAGGGATATAAAGTACCACCATGCAAAATTTCATATAAATTGGTTTAACAGTTTTGGAGGGTAGCCCATACAAACAGACAAACAGACAGAGAAAATTTGAAAAAAATCTGGATTTGTTCTATTTCTCTTTTTACATCACTCTGACTCGGTTTTTAGCATTTTTTTCTATGTACAGACATTCGACCTCTACAGTTTTATTATATGTATAGATACTTAATGCTTATTCATTTTGGATTATTTTGTTAATATGTAGCTAATTTGTATTTATTATTTTAGTTTAAAAAAAATACATAAGGTAATTTATGTAGAATTTATGTTACTTCAAAACATATTAAAAAGATAATTTACCACAATCATGAAAAGTAATTAAAAATATAAAAAAACGTGTTCCTCATAAATAATAAGATTAATAAACATCAACTTAAACATAAATATCATATATGTAATAATAATATAACGTTTTAACGGTTAGTATAGATTTCTCAGAAATGAGATATTTTCCCGCAATAAAAAGTATCCTATATGTTGACCCGGATAACCAACTATCCTCATACCAAATTTCATCAAAATATATCCAGTGGTTTTCTCGCGATACGTTCCCAGACAGAGAGACAGACAAACAAAATTCTTAACACTATATATTCGGTTTCTGTATCGATAATAATGTTTATTTCAATAAGATTTTCCAAAAAAAATATTTAATGTACAGATTCGACTCAGAAATTTTTTATATGTATAGCTTAATAAAAAATTAAAAAAAACTTACCACTTTCCGTAAATACAATGCCAAATTAGCAAATTCGTCACTCAAAAGGCATCTTAAATTCATAAAAGATGTCGGATATCCCAAAACTTTCTCTGCTTCACGTATAATATTACTCCAGCGAGAAAATGGCGGTCGCAATAATACTAGCATTTCATCTTTAGTTAAACTAGAAACTGTTGAATCAAATCGTTTTTGAATAAAAGGCGAAGCGCGCCTTAAAACGCGGGAAAATAAAGCCATTTGAGAGTTTTTTTTTAACAACCTATACGTGCAGCGCTAAGGCCATGCCTTAGCCGAATGTTTGGGTTTCATTTCATGTCAGTGTTACCACGTTTTAATGACGTATTTTAAGGCCTTTTTAATTATATTGCTTAAGGACTATTTTATTAGCAAAGGTTTCGTAATACAAATGCACTAATTTGTACAATAGCCCTATATATCTATAAACAGTCGTGTTACACGATATAATGAATTAGTACATATTTTTGAATTTCAACAATGTATTTTGTTAATATTAGATTTTTCATTTGTACAATAAATCTTCTGTTACCTATTCTTCTTTTATTTTGACTGAATTATATACCTATTTTTATTTTGCCAGTCATATATTATATATTACAGAGGCCGAATCTATAGTTTTTAGAATTTTGATATATTTCTGTCTGCCTTAGAACGCATCACGAGAAAACCACTGGACTGATTTTAATGAATTTTTCTACTGCGGGAAAATATCTTATCTCTGAGAAATCTATACTGAACGTTAAAACGTAAGTAGGGACGAAACCGAGTGGAGCGAAGGTGAGTTGCTAGTTTTATATATGATATTTATTATATGTATAGATTATATATGTATATGATAAGATTAATATATTTTTTATTTTAATATTCAGGTTAATTAATAATTAAAAATAACCTGTCTCTCATTTAAATAAGTACGTATAAATAATAAGAAAACTTCATTACGAAACAAAAAAAAATGTTATTCAAAAATCTTATAATATCTCTCTTTAAAAAGGGTATTTTGAAATACTGGCAACACAAATGCGCTTGACTGTAAAAAGTGGAATGCATTAGATCGATCACGCTCTAGTATAATAAGAAAAAAATAAATTTCTATTAATTCCGTAAAACCACACCACATTGTATCTTATTCCTTTGACATAAAAATCAAATTATATGCCAAGACAACTTTGTTAAATTGGACCGGCTAATATTATGAGAGCTCTATTATGATATGAAAGTGAAGTAATTATTACTAAATGTAACGGTACGAGGGATCATTAAAAGTGGTCGAGAGTTTAACTCTTTTTTTGAAAGTTGCTTTTAATATGTAGATCATTCATATAAAAAAAATTAATTGTTTTACTTTTCCAGTTCTCGTCGAATTTCTTGATATGAATGTGAAATTTTGTTAAGGCTTGACCTGCTTGTATACAAACCTACTTTAAGGAAAGGAATGTTAATTCTATTTATGCAGAAACTACAAGAGGATATTTTTATTATATCTCGACAAATCTATCCCACGGGAGCCGTACATTTTTTCAGGATAAAAAGTAGCTTGTGTACTATTCCAGACTATAATCTATCTCTGTGCCAAATTTCATCTAGATTCGTTCAGCCGTTCTGGTGTGATTGAGTTACAAACATCTTAGCTTTCACATTTATGATATTAGTACTAGCGACTCACCCTCGCTTCGCTCGGGTTCGTCCCTAGCTTGTTTCCCGATACAAACTTTCATCCCAATTTTCACCCCCTGTGGTGATTTCTGGGATAAAAGTATCCTATGTCCTTTTCAGGGTCCCAAACTATCTTCATACTAAATTTCATCTAAATCAGTTCAGTAGATCCAAAGATTACCCCCTACAACGTCACAAACTCACAAACTTTACCTCTTTATAATATTAGTATTTACTATTTAGTATAGATAGATTAAAGTGTCTTTTCATTCTAAAATATTACATGACGTATAGATTTTGCTTTATTACTAATTTGTTATGTGTTTATAAAAGCAACTTTATCTTTTGGTAAATTTAATTACTAATAGTAGCCTGTTATATGTATTACAGAATAGTACTACTACATGTTGTGCCAACGGTCGCGGGTTCGAGTCCCGCGGTGGGCATTTATTTGTGTGATGAACATGAATGCTTGTACTCCAGTCATGGTTGTTTATATTTATAACATGTACTAGCATTGCCTGCGGCTCCGCCTGCGTTGAAATGACCAAAAACCAGATTCTTAGGTTTTACATACATATTATTAGTATACTATTACATTGCAATTTTTGTATTTTTTCTCAGAAATGAGACATTTTCCCGCGGTAAAAACTAAAAAGTATCCTGTATGTTGACCCGGATAGACGGACGGACGGACGGACAGACAGACAGACAAATATTGAAAAAACTATAGATTGGCCTCTGTATCGATAATAATGTCTATTTCAATAAGATTTTCCAAAAAATATTTAAAGTACAGATTCGGCTTAGTTACAATTTTATTATATGTATAGATTTAAATACATCTAGCCCTTTTAACATGGATAAAAAATTACGTTACGCACACAAATTTTCACATTTAATATAGAAGTATGATATTTGCAACTTTTCTGTGTTTTTAAGAAACAAGCCGAACGTAAAGAGGTTTATGTGATCCCAAAAATATAATTACTGCTTAAGTTTAAAGTTATTTGGTATATCAAATTGTCTTATCTTTTTCTATTGTATTATCTTTTTATTATGCTTTTTACACAGTCTGGTTTTTGTGTTTTTGTAACACATACTAATATTTTACAAATGCTTCCTCATACAAACTTTCATCCCCATTATTACCCCCTTAGGGGATGATTTCCGGGATAAAACTACTTCACTTACTTCACATATCATGAGATTTAAAAAAAAACTAATTTTAGTGATTTTTTTCCTTTTAATTTTCTTCTATACAAAACTTCCTGACAATAAACAACTTTAAAAAAACCGACTTCCAGGTACTAAATTGTAAAAAATAATTAAACGGGGGCTTTCATTTAGAATAGATACCTATAATAGAACCTATAGCTATAATATAGAGAATGAGAATGTGGTTTTTATTATTTTTTTAAGATTTTATTTTTCCATTTTTAGTGTAGACGTAATAAGCAGGTAAGAAGAAGGGTTTTTAATAACATATTCGATTAAACAATTTATTTAAAAAATATATTTATTGTAGATTTTTTTTAAAACCTATTTATATGGGACCACCTGGGAAGTATACCCTTTAAAACAAAAAAAATGCAAATCGGTTCAGGCGTGTTCGAGTCATCGGTGAACATACATAAAAAAAACAAACACAAAAAAAGAATCACCCAATTTGGTGCAGTCGGTCGGAAGCTATGCGCATACATATGTACATTTTGGTGATTCATTTTTATTTATATAGATGTAAAAATGTGTTTGTTTGTTTGTCCTTCTTTCACGTTGAAACAGAGTGACGGATATGCATTATTTCTTGTGTGGACATAGTTTTAGGGTTGAAGAGTGACATATGAAAATCCGATGGACAATTTTTGAGTGTATCACGTTCAGACAGACAGACGGACGCGGGGGGACTTTATTTTATAATTTGTAGTGATTTTATTAAAGTTTGTTATTATTTTAAAGATGGAAAAAATATACTTACTTTTTCTTGTTAATAATAATTCCGTATATTCTTTCATAGTTCAAAAATAAAAATAAATATTAAATGATTATGGTCGTAAAACCAAATAAATTATTTTGTCGTGGTCAAAGAAAGCGTTATCTATATTTTTTTTATTAATTTCTCATTATAATGTCCTCATAAAATTAAAAATATAGTACAAACGTGATTTACGTGATTACGTGACGCCACTTTATGAAAAAATAATTGTTATGAACTTCTAGGTTTTTATATAATCGCAATTAAGTTTTAAGGTTTAGTATAGATATCTCAGAGATTAGATATTTTCCCGCAGTAAATAGTATCCTATATGTTTACTCGGATAACCAGCTATCATAATACCAAATTTCATCAAAATCTGTCCAGTGGTTTTCTCGTGATGCGTCCCTAGACAGACAGATAGACAGAAAGACCAAATTCTAAAAACTATAGATTCGGCCTCTGTATCGATAATAATTTGACTCAGAATTTTATTATACGTATAGAAGATGATTTTTACACAACCACTAACTTCAAACTATGTACTCCTCCTACCTGTGTTAAGATCCTAAAGTTATAGGAAAAGAAAAACAAACCTATCCCACGGGAACCGTACATTTTTACGGAATAAAAATTAGCCAATATATTATTCCAGACTATAATCTATCTCTGTGGTAAATTTCATCTAGATCCGCTCACTGTTCTGGCGAAAAAGAGTAACAAACATCCATACTCACAAACTTTCACATTTATAATATTACTATAGATTGAACAAGTAAAAGTTAGTTCTTACGCATATTTAAGATGGCTTTAATTCATTGACATATTATTTAAAATTAATTAAAGAAAAAATAACTTCGAGTCCTACTCGTAGGTATGATCAAGTACCGTTATTTAGTTTTTGTAATATTTTCTATATGAGGTTTACGCGAATATTTGACATTTAAATATAACTTCAATTTTTCAGGAACAAAAATATAAAACAAAACCACAACAAAATCTGAAAAAATATTTTGATTATATGTATATGTGTATAAATATGTTTTATTTAAAACAGGTTTCGTGGCATAAAATTTTTCAATGTTCAGGTTAACACAGCTGACCTCTGGAATTAGGTAAGATGTTCTCCAATCGGTTCTGCCCCTGATCATTCCACTAGTGTCAAATTCTTTCATCAGGTCCCATCAGATTATGAGTGATAATAATGAAAAGGCACACAATATATCGTCATCTCAATACTTATTTGTCCAAACGACCAATTTACCGAAAGAGATTTTAATGCACAATTATTGACTTTTAAATGTTCATTCTATTTGTATTAAATACACATTTTACTTTTAGAACCCGAAAAGATTAGTGTATTTTTTTATAACACGACGGTGGCAATCGAGCATACGGCCCGCCTGTTGGTAAGCGGTTACCGTAGCGTATGGACGCCTGCAATATCAGGGGCATCACATGCTCGTTGCCGACCCTTAAAAAACCTATTTACTCCCCTTTTGAAGGATCCCATACTGTAGCCCTCTGGGAAAACCTCGGCAGGGTGTTCATTCTACAGCAGAATGGTCCGTGGGAGGAAATTCCTCTGAAACCTGTACTCCCGTACAACCAATGGTCCCCCATTTGGGATGCAATGTAAGTGTTGAAACATTAAGTGTTAGGACACACAGCACCATCTAGTTCCATGGTAAGCTACAAAGCTTGTGTTTTGGATACCAGATAGTTGATACACTATACATATATAACTTTTAAATACATACATATTATAAATATAAACACCCATGACTGGAGTACAAACATTCGTGCTCATCACACATATGAATGCCTCCAGCAGACTCGAACCAGCGACCGCTGCAACAGCAAGTAGGGTCACTACCAACCTAGCCAAACGTGTTGTCGAATGTGTGAGCGTGAACTCCCTGTCGATTGGCAGCGGTGCGATTGCGGTGTATTTTCTGTATAGATATGTATATGTACATATATAATCTTAGAAATAAAGTTTTGTTATTGAAATATAGGAAAAAAACTAAAGTACAACATGTAACACATATGTTGAATAAGTAGATACTAAGAAGACGATATATAGATACAGTTGGCTTGGCTAAATGGGATTCGTCATTCAAGAGGACCTTATTATTATCTATAATAATATTATAAAGAGGTAAAGTTTGTGAGTTTGTGACGTTGTAGGGGTAATCTCTGGATCTACTGAACCGATTTCGATGAAACTTGGTAAGAAGATAGTTCGAGATCCTGGAAAGGATATAGAATACTTTTTATCCCGGAAATCAGGGCATTTTCAACCCGTAAGGGGGTGAAAATGGGGATGACAATTTTGTATGGGGAATCAAGCCAGGGATGAACCCGGCAAAAGAGAGATGTCAGTCGCTAGTTACAAAATAAAATGGGATAAAACAATAAAATCACTCGACATATAAACATATTTATTTATAAATCATCCACCATTAAAGGCCACATTACCAATATATTAGTATCATCTAATTTTCTTTGCTTTCGATTTATTTCCCCAAAAAAGTCTAGTTAAACTCCACTGAAGGTAATAAAAACCTATAGCCACAACCCCTATAATGATAGGAAGTATGGGGAAAAATATAGTGCCATAAAGCTTAGAGAAAATGGGGTAGATCCACACACCATGTTCAATGTAAGTGTAGACTAGACTGTAAAAAAAACATAATTATTATAATTAAAAAATTAAAAACTCCCTACGCAAATTAATTGTCAATTAACGATTACACTGGCACGCGTGAAGCACTTAATCGAGTAATCATACGCCAAAATGCCTTACATCATTTTGGAAAAGAGCTGATACTCTTACACTGTTGGATTGATATTAACCAAATATAGCTAAGAACTAACGCAAGGAAACTGGCTTTCAAATGAAAAAAACCGCATCTAAATTGGTTCATCTGTTTGAGAGCTACAATGCTACAGATAGACACACACACAAACAGACAGACATCGACGTCAAACTTATAACACCCCTCTTTTTGCGTCAGGGGTTAATTAAAACTAGCGGCTATCCCGCGCTTCCCCTTTTAATGTATTATATTATTGCTCCGCTGCCTTCAATAATAGGATGATGATCTATAGCTTATAGCTTTCCTCAATAAACGGGTTATCTGATGCAAAAAGAATTTTTCAAATCGGATTGGTAGTTCCTGAGATTTGCACGTTCAAATAAGTAAACAAACAAACAAATATTAATAATAATAATAATTTATTTTAATACGTGCGATAAGCTACATTTAAAACTATAGGTTTTACAACAAAACAAATTATTCGAATCGGTCCAGCCGTTTTTGAGTTTTAGCGAGACAAACGAACGAACAGCAATTGATTTTTATATATCTAAAATAATACTTACACAGCAAAATATAATAGCAAGTGGAATGTTAAATGAAATAGGTTTCGTTTATGAGATCTAGGTTCAGTCCTTGGTAGGAAAATTACCTCCCACAAAACTACACCTGTCAAATAAAAAATAATAATTCAGTATATTATTGATACAATAGACGATTGATACAATGACATGATTTTTATAATATTTTCTTGTATTTACGCTTGTATTTACGTGAATATTGATAATTCTAAAAGTAACTATAGTTACGCGTTTTTGTTTTTTTTTTGGTTGCCACCGTTTCAAATTCTTTAGACATGGCAACCGACAGTTATTATCTATACTAATAATATAAAACTAGCACAGCCTGCGGCTCCGTCCGCGTTGAATCTACAAAAAGCAACTCTTTGGCTTTATGTTATTTTTAAATATTCCTTACCATCACAGAAGTGCTATAGGCTTTGTAATACTTGATTTTTTAAATAAAATATGGAAATGGGAGCAGCAGAACTATATCTGTAATGCTGCCGGTCGCGCGGACAAACACGCGTGAATGGGCATTATTTTCTTTATTATTATTTATTTATAAACTTTTGGGAAACAAACAGTGAGATAATTCTTAAAAATAATTAAAAACTAAAACATCCACACACCGGCAAAGTTTCCACCTATAAATATGTCACAGGTAGAGTAAACATGATTAATTTAAATATTAAAACAATATAATAAAATTTTAACAAAAGTTACTGCAAAAAAACTCTACAAAGGACAACAAAAAAAAATGACTAGGTTAGAATTACAAAAAAATTAATTAATTTAATTAATTTAAAAATTAATTAATTAATTTATACTAGCGACTCACGCTCGCTCCGCTCGGGTTCGTCTCTACTTACGTTTTAACGTTTAGTATAGATTTCTAAAATATAAGATATTTTCCCGCAGTAAAAAGTATCCTATATGTTGACCCGGATAACCAGCTATCATCATACCAAATTTCATCAAAATCCCTCCAGATAGACAGACAGACAGACAAACGTTTTAAAAACTATAGATTCGGCCTCTGTATCGACAATAATGTCTATTTCAATAAGAATTTCAAAAAAATATTTATTGTACAGATTCGGCTTAGTTACAATTTTATTATATGTATAAATTATTTTAACTAAATTTTAACTAAACCTAGCCGTATAATATGTATATAAAAACCAATGTGTAGTAGTTTGGTAGCGATCGGAATTTTGATCGGACGAAGCCGCGGATACTGCTAGTTTAGTTATAACAGACAGCTTCTACCAACAAAATGAAATATTGATTTGGGTGAAAAGAGAAATGGCACCGTACACATTTTAAAAGAATCAAGTTAAAACCGCAAGAGAATCCGACTTTTATTTAAAAAGACGTAATGATATATTATATGTTCTCTGAAGCATAGAACCGCTTATTGTTGGATAAATTCACGTTACGCACGCTACTTAGATCTTATTTCAATAACACATTTTAGCTTATACATCAACTAGCGACTCACGCTCGCTTCGCTCGGATTCGTCCTAGGTACGTTTTAAATTAAAATGGATATAGTATGTTATCCTTAAGAGATAGACATATGCCATCGTGGACTTTTCTGTAGACCTATATAAGATACACAATTCCACCATACATTATTTTGTTATATCTCAAAGGGTTTAGGCAGCGTTTTCGTTGAAAGCTCCCAGACGTATTATTTTTTCCGACACCTCCAACAAATATCGTTATATTTTAGTCAATGTATACAAAAACTTAACAAATTATATACTAAAACCTTCCTCTTGAATCACATCAAAATCCGATGCGTAGTTTTAAAGATTTAAGCATACATAGGGATATAGGGACAGAGAAAGCGACTTTGTTTTATACTATGTAGTGATGATACTAGCAGAATCTCGTTCGGGCTAAAACTACAAAAAAAAACCTTAAAAAAGGTGAGTAGGTAGGAATGTATTTCGAAAAATGTAAACGTGTAATTATTTAATTGTATTGAAGAGCAATAATAGCAAGTTTCAAGTAATTCTGATCACAAATAATTTTCGCGTTTGGAGTGAGATAATCTCCAGCGGTAGAAAGTAGCCTATGTTAAAATGACGCCAATTTATCACTCTGTTTTGACTTGAAAGAACAAACAAACAAATAAAACACACTCACATTTATGATATTAGTGCGGATATTATCAATATGTTTTAGCTACGTTTATTGTTAATATCATTGTATAGAGATAGATAAAGTTTTTTTGCTTCATAAACTAAAAAGATTATTTTATTATTATATTAGAGATATATTGAACATCAAGTCCCTTGTACATTCTACGGTCACGTAAATATCTTTAAAATGTTTTTTTTTTTATTTTAACTGTAGGCAAAAGATGTTCAATCCCCATATAAAGCCATAACAAGTTCTAATTAAATCTCAAAACTTTAAAATACAAAAATATTTCCATACCTACGATAGCTGTGTGCATAATATGATTAGAGGTTGTAGTTAACACTTTGTCCACGAAAGTTGGGAATATGAGCTGTCTGTCGTATAGAAATAGAGACCAGAATACTGTAAACACCACCTGCAAAAAACCGGTGTAAATTACATCTTGACTCTGTTAAATTAAAGGAAATAACTTGCAATATAATGAATTAATGTTAAAAAAGAAACATTTTTAAAAATAATCTTTTATCTGCACTAATATTATAAAGAGGTAAAGTTTGTGAGTTTGTGACGTTGTAGGGCGTAATCCCTGGATCTACTGAACCGATTTAGATGAAATTTGGTAAGTAGATAGTTTGAATCCCTGGGAAGGACATAGGATACTTTTTATCCCGTAAGTCTTCTTCTTCTTCTCTTATCTTAAGGGGGTGAAAATGGGGATGAAAGTTTGTATTGGGAAGCAAGCTAGGGACAAACCCGAGCGAAACGGGGGTGTGTCGCTAGTATCATATAAATCTGTCCAGTAGTTTTTTAGTTAGATAATAATGGCCGGTTTGATAAGATTTTCCAAAAAAATATATAATGTGTGTCAGAATTTTATTATAATACTAGCAGACCTTCAGCTTCGCTCGCACTAATACTACAAATAAAACTCTAAAATGATAGGTTTCGTACAAACTTTCATCCGCTATTTTACCCCCTTATGGGATGAATTTCAAAAAATGCAAAAGCACCTATTTAATTAATCATATTGAAGAGCATTTATACCAAGTTTCAAGTAATTGTGATCATAAGTATTTTTTTGGATTGTATCATAACGTGTTTTCCTGTGTGAAAGAGATAATCCTTCGCGGTAAAAAGTAGCCTATGTCACTCTTCAGCCCTCCAACTATCTCCACACAAAAAAACTCGCCAATCCGCCAAGCCGTTTCGACATGAAAGAAAGACAAACAAACAAACAAACAAACAAACAAACAAACAAACAAACAAACAAACAAACAAACAAACAAACAAACAAACAAACAAACAAACAAACAAACAAACACCCTTTCACATTTATAATATTAGTATGGATGTATAGATTATACTTACCCATGTCGATGGCCATAATACTGCACTGAATAAAGTATTCTTAAAACCCTTCAAATATTTCGGTAGCTTATAAACCTTATTTTTAGCGTTACTTATTATGAGGTAATCACATATTAGACCTACAATCGCGTGAAGTATTTGTAGGAACTGAAAAAGATAGAAAATACACCATAAAGTATAACAATTGCACAGTTTTAAAAGAAAAAGATGCTAGAATCTTCTCTTCGAAAAAAGACTAAAATTTAAATGTGCACAGATTAATTATTAGTGCGAATCATACAATTTAATTAACTTTAGACTCTGCGTGTTTAAGATAAAAAACTAAAAGTCAGTTTTTCCGCTTGTATCTATCATTTCGACCCAGTTATGCAAAAAACAGCCATGTGCGTAAAAGTACCAACAGAGTTATAAGCATTTTATTATGAAAAATAATATAATTATAAAAAAATAACCAATACTTATATAAATATTGTTCAATTTTAAAATAACCAGAAAAACAAAACATAACCCAAGTGCAACTATCGACAGAAAAATGCTTATAACTCTGTTGGTACTTTTACGCACATGGCTGTTTTTTGCGTAACTGGGTCCATTGTTTTTTATAAAACGTGGTGTTATAATATCGAAATAAAAAAAATAAGTCATTAGCAACATGAACGCATTTAATACTTTCTCAATTTAAAATTTCAACCTAGTATTATTCTTAATTTTTTATTCATATTAATTTTATTACTCGATTGCGGTGAAGCCCTAAGTAGGGTTATGTGTTTGATCTGTACGTGTGGATCTGTTACTCAGTCTATCCGTGTACTAAAATTCATCAAATTTCGTCCAGACGTTTCAACGTGAAGGAGTAACATACACATTACACACATACATACTTTCGCATTTATAGCTATATATAACTAGCGACTCACCCTCCCTCCTAGATGTGTCTCTGAGTATGTTTTATTCTTATTAGAACAACTATTTTTTTTTCTAGAATAAGAGTACCCTAAATTACTCTTTATAACATCAAGCTATCTGTCATTGAAAGTTCCGTCAAAATCTATCCAGCCGTTTCGGAGATAACCCGAAACAAACAGACAGACAAAGACAGACAGAATTTTTTTTCAAAAGTTGTGTTTTTCTTTTAAGTACTGTATATTATTTCATATGCATTTAGTAAAAAGCTGTTATTTTGACATTACAAACGGACACTTTAATTTTATTTATCCATATAGATTATTCAATTTGAAGGAAATTTTTTATTAAAACAATTTTACAACAACTAACCTTCGTTCATACCAGTTTTATTACAGGTTATAAATAGGTTACAATAATTAAATAACTAATAATACTATAAAGATATATGGTTTATTTTTATATGTCTTATACACGGTATGTTATTTTTTAACCTAAGAAAAATCAGAACTTTGTTTATATATTTGTTACTAGCATTGCCCACGGCTCCGCCTGCGTTCAGATGACCAAAAACCAAGTTCTGAGGATTTACATATTAGTATACTCTTACAATGCAGTTTTTGTATTTTTTCTCAGAAATTAGATATTTTTCCGCGGCAAAAAGTATCTTTTATGTTAACCCGGATAACCAGCTATCATCATACCAAATTTCATCAAAATCCCTCCAGTGGTTTTTCTGTGATGCGGTAATAGACAGACAGACACACAAAAATTCTAAAAACTATAGATTCGGCCTCTGTATCGATAATAATATCTATTTCAATAAGATTTAAAAAAAAAATAATGTACAGATTCAGCTTAGTTACAATTTTATTATATGTATAGATAAGACGCACCTGAGCGAAGCGAGGCGATTTCAAATTTTTAAACGCGAAAAAATTAACTTACAAATGTCCAACAAGTAAAGTATCGCGGTTGCAACTTTCCAAAAGTTTTCAATTCTGGATCATCGATAAGCTCTTTCTTGATATTGAAATTCAAATACGCCATATTCCCTACATGCATCGCTATCGTCGCTACATATCCCAAAATTCTTAGATAGACGATACTTGACATGATCTGAAAAAAAAATCGCATTTTCACTTAACAAAAATAAATGAATATTAAAAAACTAAATTAAAAAGCAGCTTTTTATCATATGAATTGTGTAATGTAATTCTAGTAAATATGGGTTTGATTTAATTTAAAGTTTATTTTTTATGTATTTATTTGTATTATTCTCTGCTAACCCTTTTATTTTATATATATATATATCATGGGAGTGCACAAAAAACAGTCCACTATCGTTGGGAATCTGCCATATTGGATTTACAATGTCTTCAATTATCTAACCATGCCTTGTCATCAAAACTAAACGTGTATGCAAAATTTTAGCTCAATCGCTTGATAACTGGCTTAAAATTCAGTTGCAATATTTGACCCGAACAAACATACACACAGACATAGCAAGTTAAATAAAACCTTGTAATAAAATCTGACAACACATAATATCTGGCGTTTTGGTATCCACCAATTATAGATCTATGTGTTTGTCTCTTTATAGACTCGCATTTTCGTTACATCGAGTTTCAAATCACAACGATTCTAAAGAAGTTTTATTTCAAAAAAATAACAAATATAAAAAATATAGTTTGTTTTTAATAATTTTTAATTTATTATTATCAGTGAACATAATAGTGTAATGAACATTGACCCAGTAAATGTTTGTTATAGACCACGTGCTAGTAATTATGTTTACAAAATACCTTATCAATTTAATAATTAAACTATAGAAAATATTACTAACGATCTGAGAGGTCATGACTTCAATTCTTGTATGTAGTGAGATCATAGAATATCGTAATAATTGTGGCTTCATAATTATATTTTTTTTATTAAAATCTATACTAATATTATAAAGAGGCAGAGTTTGTCACTTTGTTTGAACGCGCTAATCTCAGGAACTACTAATCGGATTTGAAAAATTATTTTTGCATACGATAGCCCGTTTATTGAGGAATGCTATAGGCTGTATATTATCATGCTTCTATCTAATAGAGCGGAGCAATAATCATAAATGTCAACAAATCTGGCAGACTAGTATGAGAATGGTATTTCAAACTAATTTTCTATTTGTTAGCGACTTTTTTATTAGTTTATTATGGACTTACCCTCGCTCAGGTGCGTCCCTATATACGTTTTAAATAGATATGTATAGTTATTTCGAGTGTATCTTAGGAGAGAGACTTATGCTATTGCAGAATTTTCTGTAGGCCGTTTTAATATCTACAATTTTCTAGTACATTATTGTGAGGTATCTCTTAAGGTTTAGCCAGCGTTAGACATGTATATTGTATATTTCAAAAAACGACTCCATAAAACCTATTATTATGTTTTCCCGTGGGAATAAAAGATTTTCCTATACTAAAAGGTATCCTATATAAGGAATTCACTCGAGTTATTATTATCTTTATTTTTTAGCTTATTAGCCATCACTATACAATGATTTCGTTAAAATCGGTTCTGTACTTTTTGCGTGAAACGCGCACATTGATTTCTCTATGGTACTGTTTTATTATATGTATAGATAAGTAATATTTATTTATTTAAAAACCCAATTTATTTTTTTATTTTTACTAGCGGATCCGGTAGGTAGTGGTTGCACTCCCATAGACCTGTTTTGGTTGAAAATTAAAAAAAAAAAACTGACAACAGCACCACCGACTTGGTAAATCAGAACCATCCAGGTGTATACAGGCTGATCCTTAATTTATAATAGTGGTGAAGTCAGTAGTAAGAAGTCGAATCTGTACATGAAATATTTTTTGGTAAATCTTATTAAAATTGAAATAGTCTTTATTATCGATACAGAGACCGAATCTATAGTTTTTAGAATTTTTGTCTGTCTGTTTGTCTGTCTGTGTACGAACGCATCACGAGAAAATCACTGGACAGATTTTGATGAAATTTGATATGATATTAGCTGGTTATAGTTGTCAACATATAGAATACTTTTTACTGCGGGAAAATATCTCATCTCTGAGAAATCTATACTAACAGTTAAAACGTAACTAGGGACGATACCGATCAAAACGAGACTGAGTTGCTAGTTATCTATACTATTACAAATGTTACCTGCTGCTGAATATATTTCAATAAAATTGGTTGGGAATAAGGAGCATCCTGGGATCTGACATAAGCTATCTTACCACGTTAGTGAAGTCGCGGGTATCTATACTAATATTATAAAGAGGTAAAGTTTGTAAGTTTGTGACGTTGTAGGTAATCTCTGGATCTACTGAATGGATTTAGATGTAATTTGGTATGAAGATAGTTTGAGACTTTGGAAAGGATATAGGATACTTTTTATCCCGGACATTATCCTAACATCATCATCATATATATATATATATATATATATATATATATATATATATATATACATATATACATATATATATACATATATATATACATATATATATATACTCTAAACAACAAAATAATGAAAACTTATCATAACTATTTGTTAATAAAATTAAGATAAGTCAACATTCGCATTCGCATTCGTGAATATTGTCATTCGCATTCGCGGGCGTGAAAAATCGAACATTCGCTATATCACTAGTTACAACATATTCATTTCTTGAGTCCCAATATTAAGGTACATTGTACAAGGCCAGCTAGGGATATTTAAAATGCACGAAGTCTTATTAAATTTACATGTAAAATTATACGTTACTCGAAGTAGTGAATATTCATTAACTTTTAAATTATTTTTAGTGATTTTACTACATACCGCCCGCCGACTTCAAAATTATTTTAAATCTAATCCCAGTCTAAAATTGGAAATCTGTCTTAAATTTAAAAGGTACCACCCTAAAATTTTTCATTAAAAAAATCTATTCACAATTAATGAAAATATCATGTATCAATACATATACAAAAAAAATCATTACAGCCATCTAACTAGCGACTCACCCTCGCTTCGCTCGGTTCATCCCTAGCTTCCTTCCCAATAAAAACTTTCATCCCCATTTTCAACCCCTGAAGGGATGATTTCCGGAATGAAAAGTATTCTATGTCCTTTCCAGGGTCCCAAACTATCTTTTTACCAAATTTCATCTAAATCGGTTCAGTAGATCTATAGATTATCCTCTACAACATCACAAACTCATAAACTTTACCCCTTTATAATTTAGTATATATAGCATAAATCCAAAGAATTTCTTTTTTATAGTTCTTGCGCGAGTGAAGCCGGTTCTGTTAGTTATTATTATAAATGTCAAAGTTTACAACAAAACAAACATACACCTAGTTTGTTTGTAACTCTAACACATAGACTACTGTTAGTACTAAAATTAAATTATATATATATACATATATACATACATACATACATACATATAATAAAATTGTAACTAAGATGATGATGATATACATTAAATATTTTTTGGAAAATCTTATTGAAATAGGCATTATTATCGATACAGAGGCCGAATCTATAGTTTTTAGAATTTTTGTCTGTCTGTCGTCTGTCTGTGACCACTAGAGGGATTTTGATGAAATTTATGTTATCATGTATGATAATAACTGGTTATCCGGATTAACATATACCTAGCATACTTTTTACTGCGGGAAAATATCTCATCTCTGAGAGATCTATACTAAATGATAACAGGTAAGTAGGGACGAAGCCGAGCGAAGCGAGGGTGAGTCGCCAGTCCAAATAATTCGCTAGCTTGTTTTAACTTAGCTTAATAATAAAATAATGTAATATTTCAGAAAAATACCTCTTAAACTACACTCACGTTTATTTTGATCTTGTTTAGAACACGTCAATTCTGTCCCAATAACGGTATTCCACTGTGTTGCACAGCGCACTACACGAGCTTCATCGACCAATATTTTAAGGTCTCTGCTCACTTTACTAATTAACTTATTCTATTCTAGACATATAGATCAACTTATAATGGCCCTTGGTCATGAACAACTAAAATTGTAAGAGCTCTTGCTCACTTAAAAGGCGATCGTAAACTATTATTTTTAAAACACACGAGTTCCGTTCAATGAGTCAGCTTAAAGTGGATATAACTGATAAGTGGTCTCTATTATATGATGATATGTGCCAATCTAAAATGTGCCTTATTGGCTTTTAAATAAAGCTTAAATTATATATCATTTGGTGTAAAGTTCAAAATCGCTTGATAAGTCCCATATACAATTAATATGAACACATCATACGGCACATAGTAAAAGTGGCTAACCACAATATATTTTTTTAATTGAACTACCTACCAGCTATTGTAAATGCGGAAGTTTGTTTGTATGTAGGGTTGAACGGATTTGAATGAATTTAGTACACAGATAGATATGACCTAAAGTAAAAAAGCCATTCGTGGGTTCTGAAATGTACACAAATATTCGAATAGGTTTGTTGGTATATTAGTTATACAACATGAATAAAATGGAAATTTTTTTCCGGGGATATGAATTCGCTTAGCTGCTAGCTTTCTAATTTATAGGGCTATTTAGTTATTTATAGGGTTACTAGCATTGCCCGCGGCTCCGCCCGCGTTCAGATGACCAAAAACCAAATTCTTAGGTTTTACATATTATTAGTGTAAGTACTCTTACATTGCCGTTTTTGTAGTTTTTCTCAGGAATGAGATATTTTCCCGCGTTAAAAAGTATCCTATATGTTGACCCGGATAGCCAGCTATCATCATACCAAATGTTATCAAAATCTATCCAGTGGTTTTCCCGTGATGCGGTAACAGACAGACAGACAAAAATTCTAAAAACTAAAGATTCTGCCTCTATATCTATAATAATGTCTATTTCAATAAGATTTTCAAAAAAATATTTAATGTCATTTAACAATATCTTTACTCTAATACCAGATCTGGACATTTTTAATAACAAATCGCATCGCTTCGCTCGTATTCGTATTGAATATAGTTCACATAGATACGTTTTAACTTTTACTGGTTATTATAGAATAGACTATATCCATACTTAATATTATAAATATGAAAGTGTGTTTATTTGTTTGTTTGTTTGTCCTTCTTTGACGTCAAAACGGAGAGACCGATAGGCCTGATTTTTTATGTGGAGGTAGTTGTAAGGCTGGAGAGTGACATAGGCTACTTTTTACCGCGGGAGATTATCTAATTCCCATGGGAAAACACGTTATAATACCATCCAAAAAATATTTATGATCAGAATTACTTGTAACTTGGTATTAATGATCTTCAATAAAATTAAATAAATACGTGTTTTAGCATTTTTTGAAATTTATCTTATAAGGGGGTAAAACAGTGAATGGAAATTTGTATGAAACTACCCTTTTAGAGATTTTTTTTAAATTTTAGCACGAACGAAGCCGCGGGCTCTGCTAGTACTACATATATTTACATACATAAGTATAGAGAAGTAGGAAAATACTTTAAAAATAAAAGAAATATGTGTCGCTCACTTGAGAAATGATTGATTCTCCATATAAACCACCCTATTTCCAGGATAAAAACCGTCGCGTGTAGACGCGACGGGGCGTTAAAAAGTCGTCGTGTGCCCTTAGGTTTATAAAATGATATTTTTTTATACTTGCTAGATTTGTATAAAAATTAAGTAAGTGAATACAGAATATAATACAAGTGTTTTTGGTAAAATTTCGTAACTTCGTTTTTACTTGAGATATATTTAAAAGCTATTTGCCTTGAAAGATATAAATTAAAAAAAACACGAAATATGACTGAAATATATAAAAAATCGAGTTATCACGTCTACACTTTAAACCGGCATCATAATAATTCGTTAATCAAAACTATATCATAATGACTGGAGATAAGGCTGATAATAGAACATTTTATCATACAAATGACTTGATTATTGACTTGATACATTAATTAGTAGTCATTGCATAGTAATGAAATTACAAAGTACTTTAAAATAATTGAATGTTGGTAATAACTCACTAATTTTAACTGTTTAAATCAATAACTATTGGTACATTTAAACAATTATAATAATAATGCCTTTCTGACCGATTCCAAACACGGCGGCCAATCTCACTGAGACAAGCCATCTGAGCAGGAGATATTATAGTCCCCCCCAACGTGCGTTCACCTTGTCGTGGTGGGGGGGCTCAGTAGTGCCCGGCAATCCAACCGGGCGCGAAGCCAAGAAACGCGCAGGAAGTTGGCCCACTTCGGTGGGTGGTGGGAGGTGGACCTGTTTGGTGGGCGGTGTACCTTGCGGGTTGCTCCTGGTATTTCTCTGATAGCAGAGTGGACCTTGGAGCAACCCCATGGTTGTGGTGGTCTGCTTCGGCAGAGCTGCCGTCGGGGCGTCGTAGTTGAATGCGTAAGCGATCCTGCGACGCCCCATTAAGACGGGGGAAGGTTTTGTTGGGTTTTAGTGGGTAGTACTGACTTTATTACGCCGGTGAGTCCCACACCTCGTGCGTAAATGCATTTCCCAACGTTAAAAAAAAGGAGATATAATAGTGCACAAGTGTACGCGCAGACACAAGGGCACTCTCTATTCCTTTCACTTTCAAATTCCGACGGGACTACAATTTGACAAGACCGGTTAAATATCAAGCGCAAGACCGACGACTTTCCACCGCCAACTTCCAAACTTGGAGCTGTTACTGAGAATTTCTTGATAAAAAGTTCAACTACTCACCTTGGTCCAACCCGAAAATCGAACCTAGGACCTCCGGATTTGAAGCCATACACGCCGACCACTAGACCCGTTGAATGTTATATAGGTAGATAATTATAAATTTAAAAAACCCCCTACGCAAATTAATTGTCATTTAACGATTACACTGGCACGCGTGAAGCACTTAATCGAGTAATCATACGCCAAAATGCCTTATATCATTTTAGAAAAGAGCTGATACTCTTACACTACTGGACCAATAACCCGCACCGCAAGGAAACTGGCTTTCAAATGAAAAAACCGCATCGAAATCGGTTCATCCGTTTGAGAGCTACGATGCCACAGACAGACACACACACACAGACAGACATCGACGTCAAACTTATAACATCCCCCTTTTTGGGTCGGGGGTTAAAAAATAAGAATATAATAGATTATTTGCAATTCCATTTCTTGAGATAGTCTTAATATGCGAAAGTTACCTAGATGATAACCGAGACCTTAGAGTACAAGATATCATACTAAAATATTATAATATACATTTTCTATTAATCGAACCCGTAACAACCGAAGTAAATGTAAGTGCTAGATGCTAGTCAGATAAATTATAGCTATATTTTGATCGATGAAACCAGCAAAAGGTTTTCGTGTCGATGACTGTTCGACGTATTTTTTATGTAGATTAGCCTTTACAGAGTAGTACGATTTTGACGATTCTGGTTGGACAGGATAGTTACAAGTTGGTCAATTCATTTAGAAAATAAAATGCTCCGCTAAGACATTCGGAATTTAAAATGTTTCTTTTTTATTATAAATATAAGCCATAAAAAATAAATGAAATGCGTCACATAGTTAAACTAAAAATTTTAAACTTTGTTATTGAAATTAAAATGTTATTTAATTATAAAGTAAAACTTTTTCGAGGTCATCGCGATATTTTTTATTTCCTACACTTTGAAAACAAATAAAACCGACAATATACTGTTAATGAAATATTTAATTATGCATTAAACTATATTCCATTATATAAAATATATATCCATATTATGCGTCACAACATACCTAGGTATGAACCTGAACGAAGCGAAGGTGAGTCGCTAATAACTTTAATAAAACGCTCTTTAAGCTAAAATAGCGTATTTAATTATTATTATTTTTTATTTCAAACTGTCTAAACTCTATGATCTACCATGCTCTCTCTCTCTCTCTCTCTCTCTCTCTCTCTCTCTCTCTCTCTCTCTCTCTCTAAATCTCTTTCATGTAACACCTATATCGAGGGGGTTGTAAAAAAAATGTAATCTGCTATTTTGTGGCGGCGGCCATCTTAGATTTATAATTATACAGAATATATTCAATTATATTATCATCAGAACTAAAGGTGTGTACCAAATATAAGATTAATCTATCAATAAGAAATGGGTAAAATTTCAATTGCTGACCCAAACAAACAAGGCACATTATGCCTATATATAGGCTAAATAAAACCGTTTAAATATATATAACATAGCGACTCACCCTCACTTTGATCGGATTCGTCCCTAGTTGGAAACAAAAACAAATCTATCCCACTTCAACCTACTCGTTTGTGCTATTCCAGACTATAGTCTAATTCTGTGTTAAATTTCAACAATTCTAAAAACTATAGATTCGGCTTCTGTATCGATAATAATGATTATTTAATAACATTTTCCAAAAAATATTTAATGTACAGATTCTACTCAGAATTTTATTATCTAATATATAAAATTTCCGTGTCACAATGTTAGTTACCGTACTCCTCCGAAACGGCTTTACCGATTTTTACCAAATTTTATATGCGTATTCAGTAGGTCTTTTTTTGTTTTTAACGTTGGGAAATGCATTTACGCACGACGTGTGGGACTCACCGGCGTAATACAGCCAGTACTACCCACTAATACCCAACAAAACCTTCCCTCGTCTTAATGGGGCGTCGCAGGATCGCTTACGCATTCAACCACGACGCCCCGACGGCAGGTCTGCCAAAGCAGACCTCCACAACCATGGGGTTGCTCCAAGGTCCACTCTGCTATCAGAGAAGTACCAGGAGCAACCCGCAAGGTACACCGCCACCGAAGAGGGCCACCTCCCACCGCCCACCGAAGTAGGCAACCTCCCTGTGCGTTTCTTAGCTTCG